TCTCTCTCTCTCTCTCTCTCTCTCTCTCTCTCTCTCTCTCTCTCTCTCTCTCTCTCTCTCTCTCTCTCTCTCTCTCTCTCTCTCTCTCAACTCTCCCTTCCTCTGCGTGTCTCCACCTCCTCGTACCGCATTCACTCCAATCGTTCCGACTCCCAGAACTCTAAGATGGATTGTCTTAGCACCGGCGCGGTCCTATCTCCCGTGCGTCTCAGTGGCCGGCAGCGATGGTATTACATCGGGTTGGATTTATATCCTTCGAAGAAGAAGTTTTCGGACGATGCACAACTTCACCGAATTTTCGTCTTCACGCAGAGATAAGTGTTCCTCCTACGAACAAGTTCCAATGGTCTCTCCTTAGCTTATCTATTTAAGCTCCCGTAGTCGTGAGCATCTTACCTTGGCCTTTAGCGACGCCCCTGATGATGAGTGCTCTATTGGCGCCATTCGAAACATGTCGGGCTTTGCCGACCAACCTCCCTCCATGCGGTCCGGGGTTTACTCCTGGCTATCATGATGGGAGTTCTTGTGCTCATCGATGACATTTAATTCTATCGCTCAGGCTTCAAGATTTTTTACGACTACTGGTTCTCATTTCCTATTTGTCCCCCTTCCTCACTTTGCTTCCCTCCCATCTCCAAATGCATCTCCTCCTCCTCACCTATCATCTCCTCCTTCCTCCCCACTTGTTGCGTCAATGCTTCCCATGAGATTTGTGGTATGCTTACATCTTGTTTGTCTCCGCCTTGTGACGTTTTCTTTTTTCATGTAACTACCACTCTCAATGTTTCCTGCCTCTCGCCTTCTTATCTATCTACCCGTGTGAGTTTGCTGCTTCAAAATAATGGAATGGCTTGAAGTTCTTCTCTGGTTCCTAGGCGCTATCATTTTCTGGTTGCGAGTATTTAGGATTTTTTTCGAAATTTTTTATGGAACATTACGCTATGCTATTGCTAAGACTAGAAGAGAGGAAGACAATAGGCGCCCGAGAAACTCCAGACGATATCCTCCCTGTTGAAGTTCGAGCTCATATTTCCTATTTCTTATTTCTTCGGCTTATTAGCCTCACCATCATTATGTGAGAAGAGCTGTGCAACTTTCGTTGCTATGCTTTAACCATTTCCTGCGGCTCAAGCAATAACCTTTGTAGGAATTATACTACAATAGAGTGGTTGTTGGGTGTCTGTCCGTTATCATTCGTTATCATTCGGTATCGTTCATTATCATCCGTCATCATTCGTTATCATTCGTTATCGTCGTTTGATTCGTTATCGATCGTCTTTATCATTTGTTTTTTATCCATCGTCCCTTGTCCTTTGCTCCTCAACCTGATACCCCGATCTTTTTCCTGTTCGATTGATTGTTGTCTTCTTCATCTATCCGCCTTTCGTCTCTCCATTTGCGTCATCTCATCCTCTATCTATTTAATTATCTCCCTCCTACCCTCCTCAGTGCACCCCTCCTCTGTTTATGATCGGCGTCTGTGTATCCCTGGCTCTCGCTCTTGTATCCTGAACTTTACTTTGGCCCCCACCCTTCTCATCCAACCTATCTGTGAAACTATCACCTGTTGCAATTCTCGGCTAGTATTGACGTTCGCCTGTTCTTGTGGAATTGTTTGCAGGACTTAACTACTCTTTCTGATTTTATTTTGCTTCGTGCGCCATATCGACACCCAGGCTTTGCTTCAACTCCAACAGGCCCGGGCAATTCGCGCGTGATTGCCCATACCGCCAACCTTCCTTTTCACATCAACCCCGCACGCTTGTTTTCCCCCCGTTGTCTCCGCCTCCCTCCGCTGCAAATCCATCCATGCTCCGCACCTCGCAGGCTCCGCTGCTCGCACTACCCCTCCCCCTTCCACTCAATCATCTAACTTAAACACCAACTCTAACTACTCGTCGGGCCAAATCATGGTTCCCAAGCATCCGTGGTGGAAGCTAAATCAGGAGAAACTGGACAAAGTCTTCGACTTCATGGCGTCCGAGCTGGAAGCCAGGCAAGAAGCAATTCGCGAGAAAGAAAGAAAGATGAACGAAGAAGAGGAGAAACGCAAGGTGAAGGAGGCGGAGGACAAAGCGCTACGGAAACGAAAGGAGAGGCAAGATTTTGAAGAACGGATCGGGAAAATCGTAGGCTCTAAGATTAATGATGCATGCGAGTTGTTCTTGGGGAAGTCTCATGCGCAGAGGCACGTTGCTGCACCCGAATCCTCACAGAGAACTCACATCGAGGTGGAACGTGACCGACTCGAAAGGCAGATTGATACATTACGCCGTGAGTACGAGTCCATCAAGAAGGATATGGAGAAGCTCACCAGAACCGTGAAGTTATCAGGGAATGCTCTGAAGAGGTCGGGCGCCGGGGTGTGCATCACCAGCCCTCTTGAGGCTCCTGCGAGAGGCAAGGCGAGAGTCGTTGGCGTTGGGACTCCTACTTTTGATGACTTTCAAAAGTTACTCAAGGTGTTCAATACTGTTAAGGAAAGCAAACGAATCGCTGACATGGAGGTGCAAGCCCTCAAGGAGAGATTTGAACGAGCCATTTCGAAGCTGGTGAGACAAGGCCGCACCCCTCGTTCCAATCTCACAAGAAGGATGAATGAGGCACTAGACGACGACGATCGGGTTGCACAGGAGATACACGAAGATGGTCTAGATGATCTCACCTTGAGACCATCTCCACCAAAGAGGGTTTCGGAATGACTCACTTCCAAGAACGCAGCCACAGAAAGAACCGAGTTTTTGAAGGAAACGAAGAAATATCTTAAGCGCCTGAAGAAGCACGGTTTGCAGATCCTTTGCGACAAGGAGGGAATTACGTTCGTGACTTGTGAACAGGCCATCAATGACATTGCGGAATTACGAGCCTCTCTAGCCTTTGATCTGCGTCCACAACCAAGGCCGGCTCGCCCACCCCAAGACTCAGAAGCGGAGGAACCCAAAGACGACGAGCATGATGGGCTCAATGGGCAGGCCACGCAGCACGTGGACATTGAGGACGACGAGCGTATCGCACATGAATAGGGGTTTCGCTTGAGCGATGGATCTTTATGGACTCTCCTCAAGGCATGTCTCTCCCTTCGTACTTCTAAGATAGGTATCCTAGATCCTCACCTTAACCATCTATTGAGACTTACTGTTGTCGCTCTCATCCTCTCCAAACAAATTTCCTGGGGCTGGAAGTTTATGGATTCCTTGCCGCATCTTCTAGATTCTGGGTATGATTTCCTCGCTTCTTCTGGTCCCATCATCTACTGCTTGATTTCCCCGTTCATGAAGCATTGTTATATAGGGTGCACCACTCGATCCTTAGATCGTAGGTGGTCTGAGCATGTTCATCGTACCAAGTCCCTGGACGTTTCCTCTGTTTGTAACCATAGACTGTACACATGGCTACGAAGGGCAGGTATTCACAACTATGTAGCGATAACTCTCGCTAAACCTCAAACTTCGGATCTGCTACTTGCTGAATCTAAGCTCATTAGTTGGGTTTCTCCGTACTTGAATAGTAGACCTGTTAGTCAAGGCAGGAAGAAGGGTAAGCAATGTAGATCAGGGAAGCGCGAGAGGCTCAGAGCGGCTAAGAAGAAGCAACTAACCCACACCCCTAGGAACGAACTGCTTGAAGATGGTAGACAATGTCATAACCAAAGATTGGCTTTCTTCGTTACCTCGGTCGGTACATGTCGATGTCATTAATGCATATTTTGAATGAGTGCGTTCAACTAGGTATTAAGTCTTTTTCTGCTGTTTCAAAGGGTGGTTGCATTTTACCGGATGCTTGGAAGGTTTTGGGACGAGTCTTTGGTGCATCAGTAGTTTCAAGCATGTTTGGCAGGGATCAACTCAAACACTGTAAGACATGGTTCGATAATGGATGTGTATTCAAGGTGGACGCTATCTCGAACTTTTGCTCTCGTTCTGAGTCATTAAAGCTGCCTGTTTCGCGCCTCCTTAGCCATCCGAATGAAAGAAAAAATTTGTATAAGTGGCCTTTCGATAATTTGATTTTCGCGTATAACGTGGCTAGGAGTTTTTCAAGGAAGGCCTCGAGACAAACACTGCATGTTGTCTTATCTAATACTATTCGACGGAAATTTGGGATCTCCCCTCAAGGATGGCTCATCTTCCGGATCATGTACTCTGACATGCTTTCGAAATCTGTTGTTCGTTCTCTATGTGCTCGCCTAATTCGTGAGACTAACATTCCCTCCTCATTAGCCAGCATAATCTCGCGCCGAATGCGCGTAGTATGGACAAAAAACAAGAGTCTGGCTCAGTTATTACACAACTTTCGTTTTTTCTCACGCCAACCCACTTTGCTCTGTACTTGTGATAAGGTTCGTAGGCACTTCTCTGAACTCATTACAACTGAAGAGCCTCTGTCTCACTCTAATTCTTCACTTCTCAGCTTATTGCTCCCCACCATAGATGAACACATCGCACTCAAATCTAAAGATTCTTCTATGCTTCCTTCCTAGCTCCTAAACTCTCGTAACATTCCTCCTTCTTCTCCGTGTACCCTAGTCTCCCTGCGTTCACAACTGCTCCGCACCCTCAAAAACATTCCTTCTCTCACACCCAATCCCCCTACCTTCTCCATACCAACCACTCTTCTAAATACCTGCTTCAAACTCCACTCATCCAGTCTGGGCCCACCCAACATTATCCCCCTATACAAACGTGCTTCCAACTTTTCCTCTTCCCCTTCCTCCCCTTCCGTTGACTTCGTAACTCGTAATACCTTCCCATCGCTCCCTCGTCGCCTACAAGAGTTTCGTGAGCTACCCTTTCTTTCCCAAAGCGTCGTCAAATGGAAAGAGTTATTAGATGGCGTAGTCTTGGTACCTGTGGACCATAATCCCGGTGATACATTGTTCTGTTGTCCCGTATACTATCAGCATGGTATGAATACGCTGTTCCTGTAGAATCCCGGTTTCTGCATCATTGAAGATAAAGATGAGGCTACAATTTTGGAGGAATGTCGACTGAAGTATTGTGATTCCCGTTTTGAGGCAATAGGCAATTGGAATAAGAAAGGTAGTTTGGGAAGGGGGTACGTCATTCCCAAACACAAGGATGTTCGGAAGTGGCGGCCAATCTGTCCTACGTCGTCTGAACCCTCTCTTCTGGCCTGCAAACGTATCACATCCTGTCTGAACATATTGGTAAAAAACTTGACGACGATGCCACATTTTAACCTGTACAGCACGCAAGATCTAGCACCAGCTTTGGGAAAAATCAACAGTTCGATCACTACCTCTGACGCTTTCATTAGTGCAAGTTTTGACGTGAAGGATATGTTTAGCAAATTGCCCCATTCTTCTATTTGTGATGCAGTCCGATGGTTCTCCCATTGTTTTAGGTTCCAAGGGTACGACGGTGTTTGGGTAAAAAAGAGAGGTAAAGGAGCTAAGCTCTCGATAAGCAAGGCTATCCTAGATTGGAAATTCATAAGCTTCGCATCAATTGAAGGGTTTGTTGACTTCGATCTGCAAAATACTTATGTTATGGCTATGGGTAAACCACTCAAACAGAACGTAGGTGTTCCTATGGGCAAATCCTCCAGCCCTGCGCTGGCAGTCATGTTATGCATGTTTAATGAATTTCACTTCCTCTGTTCTCTAGGGAAGGATCGTGCCTTGATCCACGGAGTACGATTGGTGGATGACGTGTCCATCTTTGTCAGTTTTAAACAAGGGAATCAGTCGTCACGAAGGAAGGCTGATGACATTCTACACCAATTCAGAAGCTGCTACGACAGAAACTTGACCTTGGAAGAAACCAGTTCCGATGGAAGATGGGATTTTTTGGGCTGCCAGTTACAAGTCTTCTCGCAGCCTATAGGTATACGGTGTGCCCCTACTCATCGAAAACAGGCCGCCATGCTTGCATCTGATAACATTTCATTTCAAGCAATTCAAGATTTCTCTTCTTTCTCGAGTAAACTGCAAAAACTCGTTGTCATCAGTTCATTTTTGCATAGAGCTAGAACCTTCGCCACCATGCCTCTTGCCGAGCTTGCCTTCCTATTAACACTGAAGAAGGAACTTAGACTGAGAGGTTACCCGGATCACTATTTTGACAATGCTCTTTCTGCTTTCTCTCGGAAATTTGCGGATTGTTGGGACGACTGGCTACGTTGCCTGACCAACTGGAAACAACTCTTCTGATAGGTCGTACATCTCCTATCCACGGGAAATAGGGTCGTACACTTGATATCATCGGGTAACGGGGTTCTCAGTAGAACCTGGAAATAGGCAAAGAAAGGGTTCTTTTTCTTTTTCTTTTTCTTTTTTCTTCTTAAAAAAAGGGGATTATTCGGTCTAGGCTTAGGATAGAAGCATCAGTAACAGAAGCAATGCTTTCGAGGGCCCTGTGAGGATACAGCCTGTGACGTTTCCAAGGTGACGGCAACCGCGTCGAGTTTCTCGACCGATACACTTGATGTCATCGGGTAATGGGGTTCTCAGTAGAACCTGGAAATAGGCAAACAAAGGGTTCTTTTTTTTTTTTAGTAAAAAAAAGGGATTATTCGGTCTAGGCTCACGATAGAAGCATCGGTAACAGAAGCAAGGCCTTCGAGGGCCCTGTGAGGATACAACCTGAGACGTTTCCAATCTGGCGGCAACCGTGTCGAGTTTCTCGACYGACCRTTTTTAGGCCAGCCCACCCTACARATCYCGTTATATATTCCCAACGCACGCAGTCATTTCCCTCTTTCACCAATGYCTGTGTCGCTYGCCTATCACTGCTGCGTTGTCGCTCTTCCCACCAAACCCGCCCTCTTCTCCCCCACCTCTGTCTTCCTCTTCCTGCTGCTTCATCACCCGCGCCTGATCTCTCTCTCCCAGAAACCCGCTGTCTACC